CTAGTTTGTATGATTGTTGCAAATGAATATGGAAATAGCATGTCAGGATGAAGTGACCAGTGGATATGAGAAACATTAATTAACTAAAGTCACAGCCCCGTCCAGCTCCACACACATTAGTTACTTCAGCTCACTGTTGAATAGAACTGGTCAAATGGATCCAACTTGACTATGAAGAAAACTTAAAAAAAAAAAAAAATGTCTCCTGTGCACAGGAAGAAGAGAACTGGGTCTAGTGAGAACTAGTGATTTCTATGATACTTCATCTTTGATATAAGAAACGTAATACTACCCTTCCCCTAGCATATTGTATTGACTAAATATATTTAGCATTTAATATATGGAATGTATAATAAATGTACACAAATGCTAGCCAATGTTATTCTTGAAAAAAGATATATTTGGATATAAAAATATTTAGGAACACTAATTAGGTAGGATACTGGGGCATGGCGTTTTATTTTTAAAATTTTTAACTTGATTTTGCTATGCCGCATCCCCATAACAATGATAATAATTGCATTTATTTGGGAGTTACTATGTTCCAAAAATTATGCAATAATTCATTTGTATTTTCACAGTGGCCTTATAATCTAAGCTGTACTTATTAACCCCATTTAGTATATAAATATAATTTTTTGAGATGGATGTAGATAAAGCTTTAAGAACAGAAGCTATTTTTTTCAGTATATCTTGAAAACTTCAGTACAATAGCTATTATTAACTCATTTTAAAGAGTTAGAAGAAATAGCATTTAATGGGTACCTTCTATATGACAAACATGGTGTTCCTGTTTTAAATGTTTTCAGATAGTAATCAGAACAATCCTCTAGGGTAAGTATATTAAAATATATTATAATGAGAAAGGTGAGCCATAGACTCCAAACCCAGTTATGTGTATTATGTGTTTAAGTATTGTGAGGGTGATTTATCAAACATTAAAAATAAAGTTCCCAAAGATGTCTTTGAAAGAGCTGAATATAGGTAAGATAGGGTGTATAGGTTGATGAAATTTTTAATTTTTTTAACCTACAAATGTTTCATTTTGTAATTTTAAATTGTGTTTCATGATGTATTGATTTATATTAATTTTACTTGCTAAGATTTTTGTTGAGGCATATAACAAATAAGAGACAATAAGGTATAAAGATGGCATATATAATTGAGGAAATAATGGTTATTCAAAGACTATTCCATATTGCCTTGTCCAAGGAGGGATGATGTATGTATTATATATAGCTAATATTTACGATGTTCTCTTTGTTTATTGACTTAACTACTGAAAATTTTTTTTATGAAGTCATTATAATCCCTGACATATTTTAGGAGTATGGAAGTAAAAACCTAATATTATTTCATGTCAAAATGTATATGAATACATGTTTTCATTATGTTACTCTTAATATCTGCTATTTGGTTTAAAATAATGTTGAAAAGCATACACTACAGGGAGCTCATATTATTATTCACAAACTATTATATATATCACTATTTAGATATTCTCAATTTTTGTGTTTTTGTACTTTATCTGAAAAATCTATATGCTTCATTCAACATGAATTAGAAGATAAACAAATGTAAACTTAATTGGCCATTTAAAATCAAATACAAAAATTAGTGTGTGTGTGTATGTGTGTGCATGTGCATGCATATACATATGCCATTATTTATCAGACAAAACAAACTCACTTATGTTGACGGCTCTGTTTGGTTTGGTTTGCTTTTTCCAACGCATTTCCCCCACACCCCAAACTATTAGGGATCATGCAAAGTAGACTAAGTATGAGGCTTTGAATGACCTACAAAATACTGGTGTTATTCCTTTTAAACAAAGCATATACAATGTTTGTTTCAATTTAAGTAATTATTTATGAAACTCTTTACATCCAGTTTAAGTAAGTTATGAGCAGACAATGTGGATCAATGTATATTTTGTGAGTTAGTTTTAACCTCTTCTTTACTTCATGAAAATTAAAATATGCAAATATGTATACTCAGTATCCATTTTGTGAATTCAAGAGAAAATTCTAATGATTTTGCTTGTTTGGCTCGATTGACTTTATTCTATTAAAAGATTGGCAGAAATACAAGGTTTGCCTTAGGCCATGTGTTCTTTCAATCAATATCAAAATGTTATATGTTTGTTTTTTAAATTTAGCTTGTTTCCCCAAGAGCATTATTCAGCCTAACTAAATCGTCATGTTAAATTGCATAACCAAAAGCACTCATAAATGTCCACATCAGATTTTGACATGCCAGGGAATATTTGATATTTTGTATATTTCTACTCTTTTCCTCTATGAATTTAAATTTTAACATTTGATATTGCACTGTCTTACAGTTTTTATTTTGCATGTGTGCTCCCTTTAATAATATTAGTGAAACAAGGCTTAAAGTACAATCTGAGGTATGATTCATGGTTGTGCATTAGAATGTGACTTAAAAAAGAACAAAACGTTAGGGTAGTTTGAATATTTACAATCAAGAAAGCTCTTTTAAAATTATGAGTTTGTATCAAGAACTTTTCTTAGGCATTCAAAACACATTGCTTTTTATTCAGATTAACTGTAGAAAAACAAAAAAACAAAAACAAAAACAAAAACAAAACACAACAAAATAAATGTAGAAAACTTAGTTTGATTTTTTCCCCTAATGGTATTGCAATTACATTACTTCACGGTCTTGAGATAAATGTATTGCCTAACATCCAAACTATAATAGTAACTTCATAATTATTTGTTCACCAAAAAATCTATAGTGCCTAAAATAGTGCCTGCATTATAGTAGGTGCTCAATACTGATATTTTTAGAATAAAAATGATATTGAGTCAAAATCTACAAAACAAATAATCAAAGACCTAATACAAACATCACAAATATAATTTTATGCACTCATATGTATATAAATATAAATTGTACATATATTCTTTATATAAAATTTAATAATGTAAATATTTTCAATTTTAAACTTACTGTTGAACTGGTTGCGTTCTAGAGAGCCTGAAAAATTCTTTTTAAAAAATATCTTAACTTTAAGCCCACTATATTTGTTTCTTTAAATTCATTTGCTAACTCTCCACATAGAATTTGGTTATTTGTCTTTTTCTAATCAACCTATATTATATTTTATAATTTCTATCCATTCATTAAATAAAGTTATCCTATTACTCTTCAAAATGCTGTTGCTATAGAATTTTAGTTAAATATGTTAAATATAATACCACAAATATGAGTTTTGGATTATCCCCCTCAATAAAGAAAATGATCTGCAACACTAAGACAAGTGAAAAATGTAAAACAAATCAACAGACGAAAACATCTTTAACATGGGTAGAAAAACAATATTTAAGATGCCAAGAGCTCTGATTTAAAATTCACAATTTTCAAAACCATTTCTAGCCATGTTGTAATATATTCATAAAAAAACCCAACAGAAAAAGAAAGCTTCATGCTACAATTTATAACTCAGAAAATCATTAAGGAACAGTTTAACTTGGTTACAAGATTCTTTATTTTGTAAACTATACATAAACAGTAAAAAAGAAAATGCATTATACTTTAAATATTACATAAAGTCAACATTAAAGTTTATTTTTAGTGCGTATTAATCAAATGGAACTAATCCACCAATTTTACTTTTAATGGATGGTATATCAGGAAACCAGTTGACCCACTGTTTAAATTATAATACCAATGTGAAATATTCAACCGGTTTTTCATTTTTATTATGGACACAAAACCTTAGGTCTGATATACTTAAAAATGATGGTGTATGGAAAGGTCTACACAATTAATTAACATGCTAACTTAAATATAGCAAATAAAGTAATTTTTGTTACAGTTAAATCTTAAATGCTACTCTATACAATAATCATAAACAAGTCCACATGGCAATTATGTAACAATAGAAAAAAAGAAAGAAACATATTCCATTTTCTTCATTCCAGCAGCAGTACCTTTATTGGTATTACTTTGTTAATTAGGTGTGCTTATATATTGCCTAATATTCTATATTGGTATGCATGCTAAAACCTTTCTATTTCTATTTTGCAAGGCACCATACATTATGTTCTCTAAGTTTCAACACTAGTAACAAAAATTGTGTAATTCTTAGGTTAAATGAAATTTTTATGTATAATAGGAACTAAAATAAGAACTAAGATTTTTAAATTTGACATTGGGCATATCACAAACTATATGGGAAAATATAATTTAAATAAATCTTTCCCTTTGTCTTCTTTCTTTAAATTCTGCCCTAAGTATCTGGTTAGAAAGATCAAGAAACTTAGAAAGGTAAAGAAATCATGCTGTTTAAGAATATAAAAATATCTACATGAGATTGATATTCAAATTAAAATAAAAACTAGAAGGACCAATTAAGTTTTTTAACTTTCAGAATCCATGTTTTCAATACTTGTCCTTTCATAAAATACCCTATCATATCCAGAATAACTCCATAATTATAAACATCATTAATAATGTAAACACAATGCAGAACTTCTTATTTTTCTTACCCTGTGTTGTATCCCCTCACTCATTTCCAGGTTTGGGACAAATGCTACTTTGGAACTGCAGTTAAGGTCATGCATATTTTCAAAAAATCCTGGGGCCCAGGTCACCAACAAGTAATTATAAGTTTAACTTACAGTCTCTCTCAGAAACATAACACATAAGACCTCAAACATGGTTGATGTTTTGTTTGTGGAAGATTTACATAGTTTATTCTTACAAACATTTCTTTAAATCAATAGCTCTTCATAGCTTTTATCTGAACACTAGACTCTATATGTGTTTTCTTTTTCTCTAAGGCATATAAAAACTCAAAGTAAGTGATTCTTATTTAAACATAAAGTTCTATGACTTTCGCTGCAATATCTGAAATAATTATACAAAATATACGTGAATTTTAGAATCATTTTATTTGGGGGCAAGAAGGTAATTCTCAATAGGCTATCACTTGTAAATAATAGAAATGTTTAATGTATTGATCTCAGCTCTTATCAAATGTACCCATCATGATCATCACCACCATCATCATCATCCCCTTCATCTTCATTGTCATCTTCAATTTCATCTTCATCATTCATAATATCATCTTCATCATCCTCTTCATCAGTCCATTCATGGAAATCTCCACTTGCAAAATCTCCAGAGATCTCAAAATCAATAGCTTAGGAAAAATGTGAACATGAATGTTATTTTTTTGAGTAGTAAAATAATTTCTGAGAAATATAATGTTATGATGAAAATTGAGAAAATTAAGAAAAAATTAATTTGCTCTTTAACTTACTAAACAAAAAAAGGAAAAATAAATATTTTCTATTATTTGTTAAAATGTATATACCAAAAAAGAGAATTGTTACTGAGGTCAATATGTAAGATTTCCAGTTCAGGAATATTTATCTCAGTGCAGGTTTTATAGAGTCCATGTCAAACTGTGAATCTGACAAAGAATTATAACTTCTTCTACTACTCCAATAAACAAAGTAGTTGCCCCCTTCCAAAATTCAATTCCTAATCACTGCAACCTGCAAATATGTGACCTCACATGGTAAAGATGTGATGTGATTAATCTGTGGATTTTAGAGATATGATTAATGTGATTAAAGAAGATGTGATTAATCTGTGGATTTTAAAATGGGGAGAATATCCAGATTATTCTGTCTGACCCAGATAACAAAGAGTGTCTTTAAAATAAAAGAACCTTTCCCAGATAGAGTTCAAGGGAGATTTGATTGTAGAAGAGTGGTCAGAGATGCAATGTTGCTAGCTTGGAAAGCAGAGGAAAGGGCCCATGATATTGTGTTGGCTTGTAGTAACCATCTTCATCATATGGGAGTATGTACTGTCCTAAGAAATGTGAAGCTAGAAACAGGATCTTCTCGAAAGCTTCCAAGAACGAATGCAGCCCTGAAGACACCTTGATGTTCATCCAGAACACCCATACACGACCTCTGACATACAGAGCCGTAAGACGATGGATTTGTGTGGTGTAAGCCCTATAACTGTGGGAATTTGTTACAATAGCAATAGAAAACTAACGTAGCTAGTTATTATTAAAAAATATATTTAGAAATACACACTTTAACATCTGGTAGCTAAATTTTAATAAACACTGAGTTTATAATTATTCAAAATGTGTGTATACATTTTGGGGGTGTCCCATATATATAAATTACTAATACACATATTATTTAACATCTACTTATTTTAACTCTTCTAATGTTAGTGTGTGTTTATTTTCTATCATTTCTAATATGGTAACTAATTATAATATATCCTATTGTTGTAATTCAATATTTATATTTTATTGATTTCATAATACGACACACTGACCTTTATATATCATGTGAACAAACTATTATTTTTCTTCTACTTCATGTATTCTCTTCTTAATTTCAAAATGCTAAGAAAACTCAGGATCACATTTTCAAAATATTTTCCCTGTTCACTTATTAAATTCACCCCTATATAATTTTTATTTACAACATAAATTAAAATTGTTTATCCATCTCTGGTATCACTAATAATTGAAATAACTATTAAACTACCTATTGCAAAGACATGTTTTATACATGTTAAAAGCATGTTAGGTAGCTACTAAGTACTACTTGATCCTACATAAATCTAGTATCATTGGCCAGAAAATCAAAATCAAAGTGTTAAAAATCTTATGGAATAAATAAATGCAGAACAAGCACATAAACATTAAATGAGATTACTTTCATACTGTTTGTCATTTATATATTTATAAAAAATCACAAGTTTAGCAAACAATCTAAGTCTATCAGTTTAAAATCTACATAAAGGAGACAATGACACACTTTCTAAAATACAAGGTTGACCAACTATTTTTTCATTTTGGTCTTGTGTATTATTTGAAACACAATCCATTAATTCCTTGTGTGTGTGTGTGCGTGTATGAATATGTATGTTTTTCTGTATGTGTGTGTATAGCTAAGTGGCTTTTGTAATGAAAACTCTCCATAGTACAAACAAATATTGATTTTAAACTTGTGTTCTGGAAAAACATTTTAGGAAATAAAAAAGAACTCACATTTAAAACTTTAAACTGCATGTATGTGATGCTCAACTTAATTGTAATATTTTAGATCGATACATAAAAATGTATGCTTATAAAAAGAATTAAAATATTAATTATTATGACCTTTCAAACAAGCTATATTTTTGTCATTCAAACATAAGGAAACAAACAGATATAGCTGAAGTTTATGGGCCTTTAAAAAAGATTGGTTTTTCTCTCATTGATAAGACTATGTACTCCCAAAATCAACTTCTCCAATGGTCTACCAAAAAAAGGGTGCCATATGTACATGTGGCACACAATAGGGACAGCTGTTTTGGATAGACTGGATGACAAAGGCTTGACTTACCTTAGAAACAGGAGGTAGCTAACATGCTTTCTGCATTTGAAGTGGTAAAAGGAACCCTCTTTTTAATAACTCTTCCTTAAATAACTAAATGAAGTAATTCCATTCATTAATTATATAATTTTTAATATGCTATGAATGCATATTTTGTTACCCTCTCAAATGTTCTATAGTCTTTGTATAAAATATCTCCTCATTAAATGCTTGAGCAAATGACTGAGATCCTTAAGTACTTATCCTGTGCTTGAGATACTGTGGTAAGAAAGTACCCATTTGCTTACCACAACCTGCAACACCATTTGTTCTGGATCCAATGACTTCATTTCCATATCTGTCAACACACCAGCACTGCCCAACACTGCCATGACATTGTGTTGGCTTGTAGTAACCATCTTCATCACACAGGGGTATGTACTGTCCTATAAAACACACAGTGATCAATTATTCATCAATTCTCTCAAAGACATACACATATGGATGTCTCTATCTATGAAGCTGGCCATTATAACAATGAATTGCCTTCATTTCTTTTGTTAAGCAAATTTACTGGGCAAAAGGTACTGTTTTGAGAGTTATAATACAGAATTAAAATCTGGTTAATTGAATAGGCATACTAAGTCATGCAGATCATTTCGAATGCCGTACCAGACCCTTCACAGTCTCATTACTACCAACATTCTATTTTCATTTTGTGAGTGTGTGTGTGCGTGTGGGTATGTGTGTACGTGTACACGTAGTCTGTCATTATATGCTATACTGTGATATCCTCTATATTGGACATTTTAGGGTTTATTGGTTTTGATTGCTTTCTTAAACTCAGTCTAGTAGGAAAAATAGACACTCATTTTCATATTTATAATATCTAATAATGTACTGGTATTTATCACATTGCTAATGATAAATTTAACTATTAACATAGAAGTGAATTAGCATTCTTCAATAAACACTCCAACATTACAATGTAAGCTTTGGAAGATCAGAACATTTTCTTGCCTATCCTAATAATTTTTTCCCCCTCAGTGACCATACATACTAGAGTTATTTTGTGAGAACAAAAACAATAACAATAAATGAATATATAGATAAAACATAAGACAATTTAATCTTGCAACCATACAGGATCATAGTTTTCTCCCTTTAAAAAAGTTTGAAGAGTCTGATATATAAACAATAAATTTTGCTTAAAAATTATAATTCATTTAAAGGAGTTTAATTACTAGTTTATCAGTGAGGAAGACAGAGTATCACCAAAACTTGAAAACCACTTCTGTGGAGTAAATGCCAGCAAAAATGAGAAGAAATTATAATGTTCTTATTCTACCTCATGAAAAAAGTACCATTATTTGACATAACTGACATTAAAAAGTTATGAGGTAAAACTAGTGTGACCATTTAATTTAACCTTTAGACAAGCATATTTTGAAAATGAAAGAGAGTACTATTAAGAATTATGCTAGAAATTCAGAAATCAAACAAGACTGAACTCTCAAATTGGAACATATGGCACCTTATACTTACACAACAATTTATCAGTTTTCAGAGAAGTAACATTATCTATGTATACTTAAGACATTCAGTACTCTATAATGACTTTAATTTTTATTAAGCAAGGGGAATAAAAGTGAATCCGCCCAAATGTGAGCTAAATATGTTTTTTTTTGTAACTTCAAATAACCAGAGCCTGAATTTCAATAAACTTTTGTCACTAGTAACCTTGATCAAGTCTAAAATAATATTTAGTTGAATTTCAGCTGAAACCGGTTTGGCTCAATGGATAGAGCGTAGGGTTGGGGACTGAAAGGTCCCAGGTTCGATTCCGGTCAAGGGCATGTACCTTGGTTGCGGGCATATCCCCAGTAGGGGGTGTGCAAGAGGCAGCTGATCGATGACTCTCTCATTGATGTTTCTAACTCTCTCTCTCCCTTCCTCACTGTACAAAATCAATAAAATATATTATAAAAAAAAGACAAAAAAATATTTAGTTGAATTTCAATGACTCTTCCCATTGTACATGGGTAAAGTTTGATTATTGGAAACAAATTAAACAATGTATGAATGTATTACATCCTTTTGTGAGCTATAATACATGTGCATCTTATAAGAGTTTAAAGAAACATGACACATAGCTTTTCTTATTAGTAATGTTTCACATCTTAAAATGTTTTATTAAGAAAATGAAGCTTTTAATTTTGAACAATTTTTAAGATGATTTTTTTCTCTTGTAAACAGAATATTATATTTTAAAAAGCATATCAGAATATAAACAATTTATTCAGATTCAAATACATCATAAAATGTGTGGCACTAAATAAAAAAGGACATTAATATACATAAAAATGGCATTCTGTCTTAGATTCTAAAATAGAAAAAGGACATCAATAGAAGAACTCCTAAAATCCAATGAATGCTTAGAGAGTAGGATCAGAGCAATGTTAATTTCTTAAATTTGACAAATATATAATGCTTATTTAATACATGGTAAGATAGTTTGATTTGATACATTAGGTAAGGATGGTTGAAGGATATATGAAAACTATGTACTATCTTTATGAAATTTGTTAATCTAAAATTACTCCAAAAAGAGTTTACTTAAAATTGGATATTTATAGGAATAAACAAAATTATTATACACTAGTGGCCCGGTGCACGGATTTGTGCACATTGAAAGGAAATTAATTAGAAAAAATATTTTAATATCACTATTCGTCCTTTCTCTATAATTGAAGTGTCAACCAAATTCATGATCGACAATGACAGATTGAAACATATGCATGCAACTGGCATCAGTGAGAGCTTTATATGTATTGTGCAAGTGTGAGTCAACTTAGTCTTTTAGAGATATAGAATATACGCTTGCTTAATTAGACCTGCTTTCTAATTTAGCTAAACTTTGTCCAGACCAATGAAGCACCTTTTTATTTCACCTACATGCTTCAGTTTATAGAAATTGGCAAAACTACGTAGGTAAGAACTATGTGCCAAAGTATGCTTGAGTATATACACCAAGTAGACTGCAAGAATGTACATAGCCCAACCAGTGTGGTTCATTGGTTTAGTGTCAACTTTTCTTTCAGGTAATTGTCAGAAACACAGCAGTAAATATTAATATGAAGCAGATTATTATTATAGATCACACAGAAAGAACAAAGGGTAAAATATTTGTGCAGTGAGAAAACCTGAAGTCATTTTTATGTTCCATCATTTCTTACTTCTTTTCAGTTGGGTCAAGTTTCTAAGCTTCCTAAATCTTCATTTTTTCTGCTAATGAAAAGAAAATAGGATTCCACCAAGTCTCCTATCTACCTTCTCCAGGACTTCTGTGAGGATCAAATGAGATGCTGCATGGGAAAACGCTTCACAGACATTTGGTTACAGTGTGAAATGTTTCCACCGGTGTTTCTGGGCTGAAGACACTCCAAGGAGGCTAGTTGATAGGGAAAGGAAGCCAGGTGTTGCTATGAAACTTCATTACTCAGACAGACACTTAGCATGTTAGCCTTTTATATATGTAGATAATAGTTTAATAATCTGATAGCTTTGGGTGGGTAAAATTTGGAATTATCTTTCATTTATTGATCGAATGTTCTAATACATACATTAACTTACTATAAGTTAGTAAAAGGTTCTAATAAAAACATTAAAAAGTGTGCTCATATTTTCTTGAGATACTCAGGGTCTCTCTTTCTATCTTTCTCTCCCTCCCTCCATCCCGCCCTCTCTCTCTCTCCCCCTTCTTTCTTCCTCTCTCTCATTAATTCCTGAATTGTTAGCCATGGAATTAGAATTGAAGTTTCTGCTGATGCTTTAACTTTAGCTTGTTCAAATCTCTTTCTTTTTTACTTAATAACTCTCAAAATGAACATTATATTAGGGTAATAAAACAGACATAATATCTTTCAATAGGTAAGACAATAAAAGTAAGTTTAATTGCCTTAAAAAACTTCATAAATTTTGTTACTGAAATTTAGTATAGTCTATCTTTGTTGAATTAATATTGATTTTATGTTGCTGTTTCCTTGGGGCTATTTATGTAAGTAATAAAGACTTCAGAAGAATAATCTATTACTCACCTAGGAGCTTCTTTATTCCTTGCCGCTTCTGAATATTGCTGAGCTCTGTCTGGCAAGGAGGGTCTGCAATGACATTAACAATGTTACTTCAAGGCTTACAGTTAATGAAAATAGTGTAATTTCTATGTTGTCCAACTTCAGTTATTTTTTACATGCCTTTGCAAAACATATATTATATATTAGTCATTTTACTTTTGGAGATACACATATCGACATGTGAGTGTAAGTATCTATACCAAAAATGAAAGAGACAGAAGGAGAATGTTCTGATTATACATATTAGGTTATCTTGATAGTCCTAAGAATGACTGAATTGGATGTAAAAAACAGAATGGTATAAAATACTTACTATATAATGAAAAATTATTCTTTTCATTTACTTTAAAAAAATTATTGTTTAAGGCATTCCAAATAGTAGTACATATGTCACTTTTTGTTCCCCACTGACTTCCCCCTGGTCTCCCCTACCTCCCCTTCCCAGCACTTGCCCTCATCCCTCCACTCCCAGTGTCTTGCGTCTGTTGGTTGTGCTCATATGCATTCATACAAGGTCTTTGGTTGAACTCTTACCCAACTAAGTTCCATCAACTCATCAGTGTAAATCCAGCTTATGGACTGTCCCGCAAACAAATAACAGTTTATATTTTCCCCTCACTTAAAACAGTTTCTAAGATATAGACACATAGCTTTGCATTAAAAAGTGGTCTACGAAACAGTTAATCCTTTTTTTTTTTTAAGTTATATCAGAGACACAATAAAATTCCATACTGAAAAATGTTGACAGACTTTGGTCTTTTTATTTCACCTAGATGCTTCAGTTTACAGGAATTGGCAAAACTAGGTGAGAACTATGTGCCAAAGTGTGTTTGAGTATATATAGCAAGTAGACTACAAGAATGTATATAGACCAACCAGTGTGGTTCAGTGGTTGAGCATCAACCTATGAACCAGTAGGTCACAGTTCCATTCCTGGTCAGGGCACATGCCTGGGTTGCAGACTTAATCCCCAGTTTGGGGCTTGCAGTAGGCAGTCAATCAATGATTCTATCTCACCATTGATGTTTTTATCTCTGTCTCCCTTCCCTTCATTTCTGAAATCAATAATAAAAAATAATGGGCACATAATGAAGGTGAGCAACTTGAGCACTTGTCAGATTGTGCCTAAGTGTACTGTGTCAATGTTACATTCTTTTGAGTTAATAAAGCTATCGATATTTTTAATAATCATAACCCGAATGTCTTTTTCCATATGAACAACTATAAACCTACTTTTGCCAACCCCTGTATATGCAACTTGGGAAGGACATGATATACAATAATTTCTCATAAGTTATTCTTTAAAAACATTACTTAAAACATTAAGCCAATTCAGCTATTTTTCAAACTCAATCACTTAAAGGGTAATTTTTTTGGAGAATAAAATTCTAAATAGACACAATATGGTTTGATTTATATTATATATACAATTATATGTCCTTACAGATAATATATATTCTTAGCTAAAAGCAGTTCAGTGTATTTTACAGTCATATTTTAAAACCATCCTTTTAATATTTGCTATATAAAAGTTGTACCATAAACTTTTGAAACAGCAAAACAATAAACTAGTACCTATTCTCCTATACTAGAACTGTTTAGGAAATAGCAAGGTATAATTAATTCTAGTTATTTTAAAATTCTTTATTTTATTGATCTCATAACATATAGTTATTAAATTTGCACATAAGTAAAGCAGAATAAGGAAATGAGACCAAGTGTTTAATATATAGATTTACAGTTTAGCATGGAAGGCCAATTTTTTTTTTTTTTTTTTTAGAATCTAAACTGTGAAGAAAAAGGAGTCTGTTTGTAAAGCCTGAGTAATTACTTATTGTTCTATTTCATTTTGAAATTGGTTCAGTTGATTGCTTTGTTTTCCTTAATAATCTGTGGGGCTCTTACACTAAACATTAAAAATAGGAAACACGTTCTAGAGTATGAGGTTAGAGAATAGATAACTTAAAATGTACTGCGCTCCCAAAATTATTCTTATCATTTACTTTTTTTTAAAAAAAATTATTGTTTAAGGTATTACAAATAGTAGATCTTAGCTGAAGTTTCAATATATTTAAAGTAATTCTTCTAATTGCTAATGGCCATGTATTGTAAAGTAGAAGTAACATTTCCTATATGTTCACCGTTGAATTGCCTAAAAATACAGATATATCTGACTTGTTTGTAAGCTCTCTAAATAAACCTGATTATTAGTCCTACAAACTCTGTATAAGAGAAAGATGTAAGAATTTCAAAAGAAGTCATGACAGATACAACTACATAAAATATTTGATTTTGAAATATTTTTTCTATTATTTAAAAGGCAGCTCTCTGGCCCTTAACTTAAATATTACTGAAGTGCTAAATTGAGATTTCATCTATTATTTAAACTCACTTGCAAAGAACTGATCTGGATAAAGGATCGTAACCCAATTAATTGGATGAAGGTTTTGACATGGTTAGACTATGAATAGTCAGCTTAGACTGTATGCACAAATGTATATCACAAGATTTACTCCCTCTGTTTACGGCCTAACAGTGTTACAACTTTATGGGAAATTCTGATTTTAATGTGCTAAATTTTTTTATGAGAATCATGCATTATTATATGTTTATATAATTGAATATATAAAATATGTTTTAATCATTGAATTTACAAGTAATCACTCAAAATGTTAGTTTAAAAACACCAAAAAAATAGAATACTTTTTTTTTTATTAGTTCAATTTCAAAACATTGTTTTTGAAAATAACATTGTTCATTGTTTTGCATTCTCAGTTTAAAAACTCAAACCTCTATATTGGGGCCGTTCACACATGATCTATATTGAAATATTCAATATCATGAAAACGATGCAGTTTTATCATTCCATACAATTTGGGACTAAATAAAATGTTACTGGGTAAAAACAAAAAGTAAGGAAATATCAATATGTTTACAATTGTTCTAATATACAAATGTGGTGTGTTTTTTTTTCTTCTATAATCACAACTAGTCATTTCTGAGGAGTATCTCTTTACTAGCTGTCAAATATATAGAGGCAATCTACAGTCAGAAATGAAAATACAGTAGACATCATGGAGGTTTGTGAGCGAATCTCTAAGTAGGCAGCGCACAGCAGCCCAGGTTGTGCACTGCACAGCTTCAGGGGGAGCAAGCACTCTCCTCCCCCTCCCCCCCGCCCCCCATATGAAGAGTGCCTGGAGCTGTACAGCAGGTGGGTCCTTGTGCCTCTCAGTAAGCCATTGTCCTCATTCTCTCTCTCTCTCTCTCTCTCTCTCTCTCTCTCTCTCTCTCTCTCTCTCTCTCTCTCTCAAGTCAATACTGCGTTCTCACACAATTGGATATACTTGAAAATCTTTATTTAGGTTTATTTCATCAGTAGAAATTTCAAATAGTTTTATGACCAGAGGACAAAGTTCTCTCTATGTAATGTCTTTCATTAAATAGAAAAACATCTTTTGTAAAATTAACACACATGAGTCACATTTTTACATCTCTCCCTATAGATTAGATTATAAATAATCTCTAAAAGTGTCATCTATTTTCATTGTAGTCCTGAGGAAAAAACATTCAATATATTGTTGATTGAAATAACACTTGCTGATGTTACCTGTACTAAATAGGATTTGCTAAGAAGTTGCACACAGTAATGTCTCTATGGCATTTTGTACATAATTATCTTGCAAAGTCAGAATGTAGAATTAAAACTACTGAGACAAAGTCAAAGATTCTTGTTTCAAATACCAGTTCCTGCCCTCATTCTGTAATGTGAAGTTATTAAAGATTGATAAACTTCAGGCCTTAGGCATAAAATGGGAATAACAATATTTTCATGGTGCTATTTGGGTAGTAAATATTTTTATGTATACAAAAGACTAGGTGGATCTGAATACAAGTTAATTTTCTTTTTTATTTTCCTGGATCTTATACAATAGAACATTAAATGAAATAGCAACTAATAATTGATTTACTTTTTCATAGTAGAGACTTAGAATATACTTTTATGAAAGTAAGTTATTAACTCCTAAGGTAACTGAAATTACCAATAAATATTCCTCCTACTCATTCTTTCACGATTACTTGAAAAAAGAAATTTAAAATCACGATTGTAACCATTTTGTAATGCTAAATTATCATGATTTTAGAAAATTAGTCACAGATACAAATTTGTATTTTAATTAAAGATAAAATATATTTTCCCTTGGAAACCTGCAAGTGTTTCACTTGCTTGAACATTTAAATTCAACCTAAGGCAGCTGCCCTCTTAGCGCAGTAGGCAGCGCGTCAGTCTCATAAATTCTCAACCTATTTTTATTAAAATTGAGATAAACCTTAATTTTATATTGTTGAAAGTTTTTTTAAACACAATTTCTTTATTTTCAAGATATTTCTAACACTATACAACTATCATATAACTTTTTAAAAATATATATTTTATTGATTTTTTACAGAGAAGAAGGAAGAGGGATAGAGAGTTAGAAACATTAATGAGAGAGAAACATTGATCAGCTGCCTCCTCCACAACCCCACTGGGGATGTCCTCACAACCAAGGTACATGCTCTTGATCGGAATCTAACCCGGGACCCGATTCTGTTCACAGGCAGATGCTGTATCCACTGAGCAAAACCAGACTGGGCTACAACTATAGTCTTGATTGTAGTTTTAAGTAAGCCTAGATTAGTAATACCCAATTATACATATTTCTCTCTTAATATATATCTATTTCTTCCTATATGTAATATATAATAATTTCCTGTTATTCAATAAACAAAAACATGCTTAAGTTTACTATAGAGTTTAAAGTTAACTTTCTACATTACATTTATTATAGTAAACTTAAGCATTTCGTGTTTATTGAAAAAACAGGAAAAGATTCCTTTATAAGGTAAAAAATTTGAATATTTTTAAATTAATGGCTATTCTTTTTTATGAAGTTACTTAATAGCCTAACTAAATATGTCAAATTACTCTGATAGAGCTTTTGTAACATTTTCTAGCATATTCAAGTGATGAACATTAATTAGCCAGACTCTTCTTAGTTTTGGGGTAGTTGTATAAATTTTTTTATCTTGAGTAACCTTTAATTAAATTATTTCTACTATGTATCAAATGTTCTCAGATTATGTCTTCACTTGACTATACAAATTTTAAAACTTTGGAAGAAAGGTGATTAATAAATGAAAAGTATACACAGCAAAAATTTTGGGGGGAATATTTTAAATCAGTTCTAAAATATTACTGAAAATATAGGAATTTTTTCAAGATGAAAGTATTTATTTTTGAAGAAATATTCAGAGGTATTCAGAATATTTTATATTAAGTTATAAACATGTAAACATACTATCATAACATTCAAGGAAAAAACAAAACAAAATAAGTTTTGTTATCAAAACAAAAGATTTACTTTTTCTTTAAATGAATTCAATGTATAACAGTCATTAAATCTAGCATGTATTATAGTTTATAGCATGTTCTATCACCTAGAAGCACATATGTAATAATAAAATCAACAATGTGTTTGTTTGAGTGTGTGTCTGTATGTATGATTTAGAATATTTTCATAAAACAAATATAATTTTTAAATACTGCTTAAACTAGTTTATAAACAATGTAGCTACTCTCATACCCTACTATTGACCCACTGCTAATTAATTTATTGATAATCATTTTACCCCTACTTATTAAACTATTACTAATATATGAAAAAGTAATTGATACAGTAAAATACCCTATATAATGTGTTAGCTACCCATATGAAAAATGGAGAATCATTAACATACTTTAAAGTAACTTATTCATTTTATTAAATGTCAAGAATTTTAAAAATCAGTGACAATAGCAGGGATATTACTTTAGATAAGTTATCAGTCTGTTTCTATAAAATTAGCTTCAAATTATACATATCATTACATCTTTACATTTCCCCAAACTTTAGCATGAGTTTTTTTTTGGATCGCTTTCCTTTATATACATGATTATAATTATTATTCGACTGAGCATATAAGCATGACTCCAGTTTTACATTACTTTCATGTTTCTGAATAAAAAGAAACAAAGAACTAGCATCATTCCAATAGTTCAGGTTATTCCAAATTCTTCCAGAGAATCAAGGCACTTTCTTTTGCTGTGGATTTTTATGAAGATAAGTAATTTTGAGAATTCGAAAGACTAAATCATTTAAAAATTAGGTGAGTAAAAATAACTATATGGTAAATTCTGTGGTTCTTTCAGCTCATTTAACCAGATCACGAAACAGAACATTAAAACTCTATACTAGAGTGATAAAAACAATTTATTTTACACTGTGGGCAATGTAGATAGCAAATTAATTTTACTGATTACTTTTAATATTGATGTTTTCATATTTCTATGTGATTTTTGGTGGTTTATAATGGAAACTATAATGGGGTATATTAATATAAATTTAATTATTATTTATCATATTTAGCATGTTTTGCATCCCTACCAGAATTATATTGTTCAACATGCTTCTTATATGCTCCTTTATTAAACACTCTAATCAGAAAAGCATCTACTGAAATGAATGAGATATAGAACGCACTTTTTTTAATTATGAAGGAATAGATAAAATTTGACATGCAGGTCAACTATGTACATTGGTAGGTGTCTCATCTTTTACCTTGCTGTCTCTGGAAGCAGTAGCACCATTCATTGTTAGATATCAAACTGTCCTTGTATGTGTCACAAGAGTTGAAGAATGCCTTCGTACACTGTTCATTCTTATCAAGGTAGATGCTCCCCAGCTCTGACTGGTCCAATAGCAGGTCATAGTTTGTATCAAGTCTGTTAAACATCCAGCCAAGTGAATCCTTGCAAATTGGCAAAATACTGGTATCAAATCCTAATGGTAAAGACAGAAAATGATTAGTTAAACCTGATAGACCCCATGAGCAGGAAACAGAATAAAGTAATAAAGTTGTTTGTGTAGGGTTTGATATAAGAATAATTGCAAAGAAAGTTATAGTTATTTAGCATTTAATGTTTGAGTCCTATTTATCATTTTTAGATTATTGAGATTAAAACTCAAATTTGTGGACTTGACAAATTAAAATTTTCACTACATTTTTGGGATGTATTTGTGTATTCTGAACATATTTACTGCTTTCTATCTGTGTACCACTATGCTATAACACCATTCATGTAGGCAATGGAGATAAGGTAAAAGGTATTTGCGACATTTTCATAAAAGCACAGAGGAAAAAAAATCTGATTTATTTTCATTGTTTTCATTTTTCATGTAAGATTGTTTGCATAATCAAAACAAAATCCCCCCACTCAAACAAAGCAATGGCAAACATAAGTTGCTCATTTCCTATTTCTTTGCCAGGTCCTTGCCTTGGTTCTGGAAATACCTGATTGAAAAACCTAGATGAGGCCCTATTCCCTTGGAGCTCACTTATAAAATAGCATGGGTTGAGGTAACTGGTTAAAACTATTTCTACCAGAAGTTGTCATATGCTTAGGGATTACATGAAGAAAGCAACCTGTAGAAAACAAATATACTAAATTCTGCATAACCATTCAAAGAAACTGAGTTCTTGGTAAGAGATTTCTGGTGTGCATCTAAACCACTCCCTCTCTCCCAGTCTGATTTTCAGGGCAATGGAGAAGCCTAAGGGTGCTATACCAGCCTTTATGAATATAAGCTATGGGAAGAAGAGAGAAGAGCCATATCTTTTCGTAAGCATTCAGTTAGTGAAGAGAGCCTAACTTCTCCCTTCTCCTACTTCCTAGCATGGAGGACTCAATGGATTTGTCTTCTAAAACTTAGCCTGGAGAACCCAAAGAGAGTCCTGATAAAGTCCACAATGTTTGCAAGAAGGAGAGATGGGCATCTGATTTCCAGCTGTATATCTGTGTATCTACTTTTCACTAGTCCTGTTATTGCCAAAGGAGCATGATAGTTGGAGTATGGCCATGCAGACCAAAGGCAACCTGGGATTCCTCTGAAGTCTGAAGGCTCCCTCTGTGTTGGGGTAGATGAGATGTAAGGTAATGCTCAGAGAAAGTGAGCAGAAGGCGTCCAGCTAGGGATTCACCAACCAGTGTTTCTTGTTTAAGATAAGTGATGGAGAATCAGAGGAGAGGTAACAGAACCTTGGATTCAAGCCAACACTCTGGACTGACTACTCAGAACAATGAAGAATGAGTAAAATATTAAAAGCAGAGAGTGGCATGATAGGATTTTTACATTAAATTGGCAATCTCTGTCATGTGTCTAATATGAGGACAAGTGTGGAAGCTGGGATGCCATAGGGAGTGACAGGCATAGCCAGGTGTATCATATTCATAAGTGCTTGGGTTTCCTATGACTGATCATCAATCGTTAAAACCTAAATTTTAAAATTATCTTTGCCCAGCTTGTATGATATATCTTGTAAACATCATTGGTGGTTTCAACACATTCTTTCTTCTTATTTTTGTCAATTACAGTGTAAAAGAAAAGTGATACTATCTTTCAATAATTTTTGTAGCTCTATTTTGAGGAGAACTTATCTTACAACCCAAGCATCAACAAAAAAAGAATATTTCTTAAAACAGGACATTCACAGATATTTAACAAATGTTAGACACAATAGAACTAAGATTTTGCCCTTTATATTAAAGAGATATTACATTTTCATAAAGCACATGTCTGCTGAAGGATCAATTTGATGAAATGTCATGATGTTTTAGATCAAGAATGTCCAAGTATCAGGTGACTGATATGAATATGAATTCAGGTGACTTGCCCCTGTTCTATTGCTGTCTTACTGGGTTAAGTTATTCAATATAACTCAGCTTTAATGTTCATATCTAGACAATGTCAAGATTTTTAAAGCATGATTTATATTGCCTTGAAAATAAAAAGTACAGTGAATTTATGTTATGTGAATGATATACATAAAATTGTGTTATAAGGGTCACCAGAATAACAGAAAAGGACTAGAAATAAAATTATTTTTATACTCTAAATTAAATTTAAACTTTCAATATGTATATTCTCTCTCTCTCTCTCTCTCTCTCTCTCTCTCTCTCTCTCTCTCTCTCTCACACACACACACACACACACACACACACACACACATATATATATATATATATATATATATATATATATATATATATGATATCACTAGAAAAATTGCAATTGTTTAATTTAAGGAAAGTAAGGGGGGAATAAACAATAGCAGAGCCTCAGGGAATATTGATAATATATAATATAGATAATATAAAAGAGTACAATACACAGGTCAATCCCCAGATGAGATGGAAAAGATGGTGCAGAAAAAATAATTTGAGAAAATAATGGTAGAAATTTTACTTGTATATCTAAATTTATAGTTTGAAGATATACAATAAATGTCAAGAAAAAATTAACAAGGAAGGACCTTCCTAACCAAATTTTTAAGAACTAAAGTTAAATACCAAATTTGAAATGAGCAGGAAGAGATGGCACATCATAATTAAACAATGATTCAACTACAGTTTGTCATCTTATTGGAAAATTTAGAGGCCAGGAAGAGTTGAATGATATTTTTAAAAGATGCAAAAGACAAAAAAAGTATTTTAAAATATCTACATCCAGTGAAAATATTGATAAAAAATGAAGACAAGGACTCCATGCTTTCACCTAAGAAGTAGAAAGCTAAAACAAGTATTGCTCCCTACTAAATATAAGAAAACTTTGACTAATCTACAAAACTACACCTTTTTTTTAACCTCCCTGGAATATTTTGTACAAAAGCAATGCAACAAGCATAAATATACTTAATTTGTCTGAAATAAGGTATTATAAGAGAAAAATGGGCAAAGCATGATAAAAAAGAAAACTATAAAAAAGGTATATTGCAATTAAATCACATCAATACTTATACTAAATGTAAATTATATGAGCATATCAATAAAAATAAGAAAAAAAGTAAGGGTGGATTAAAAAGCTAGAAGAAACTATATATTGTCTTGAAGAAAATGATTTTATATCAAATGGCACAGGAGGTTGAAATTAATAGATTGAAAAAAATATATACCAGGCTAGTGCTTATGGAAGAAAGCCAGGCTGACTATTCTAATAATAAATTTAACTTCAAGATAAAAAGGGATATTACATAATGATAAATAGTTCAAAGAGAAGATGTAACAGCCTAAATTATATGTATTTAAAATGAAGCTTCAAATTGCACAAGAAGAAAACAACAAACTGATAGAACTAAACATAGATAAAGACAAGTTCCCAATTACATCTGGAGACTTAAACACTAATCTGTAGACAATCAATAATATAGACAGAAAAGCAGCAAGGGTATAGAAGATCTGAAAAACATTGCCAATAAACTTGGAATAATTTACATTTTTAAAACACTCCAACAAATAATAATAGAATAATAATATACGGTTCTTTTAAGTGATTATGAAATCTATTCTGGGGCATAAAGCATACCTTTACAAATGTGAAAGAAGTGAAAGCATACAAAATATGGTATCAGAACATAACAGAATTACAGTAGAAATAAATAACAGAAGGAACCATGAAAAAACATGTACAGAACTTATACAAAAAATACAAAGAATAAATGAGTTTTAAGTAATTCAAAGATGTTATTTAAATTCAGTAAAAAAACATTAAAAATTCTAATAATCATATTCATACCAATAAGTGCAAAAATGTATTTATTAGAATATTATCCAGGTCAATTTTTTTAGAGAGATTTTTCTTAAGGAACACAAACTAAGAACTCTGAGATCAAAACAGAAAGATGTAGTGAGAAAATATTTGGAACACATAAAAGATTAAAATATTAAAATAAATGTTTATGTGAATTTAATTATGAGAATGAAGTAAGATTGCAAATCCATGTATCAATCTATTAGCAATTTTTTGTCTTATGTTATGTAAGGATTTTGAACTATTTTATTTCCTTTTTGTTTATATTTTCTCTTTTGTTTTAGCTGTCATTTCTTGATGCTCTTAAGACACCTATAATGCTTACTTACCAGGCTGTTTGTTAGTTACTCAACAGATAATGGAGTAAACTTCAATAGAAAAAATGCTTACATTATAAATGATTGAATACATATAAACATATGTTCTCAGCCTGTGTTGTTCAGTGGTTGAACATAGACCTATGAACTAGGAGGTCAGGGTTCAATTCCTGGTCAGGGCATATGTCTGGGTTGCAGGCTTGATCTCTAGTGTGGTGTATGCAGGAGGCAGCTGATCAATGATTCTCTCTCATCATTGATGTTTCTATCTCTCTCCCTCCCTTCCTCTCTGAAATCAATTAAAAAAATATTTTTAAAGGCAGGGACCCTCACACTGATGGGGGCGTGGTTGGCCTGCAAACTCTCTCAGCCCCTTGCCCAGGCTGGCACCGCTCCCAGTGGGACCCCCACCCTGATCTGGGACCCCCTTCAGGGCAGACCAGCCAGCCCCCACCCATGTTCCAGGCCTCTATCTGTACAGATAAAAGAGTAATATGCTAATCAGACCAGATGTCCTTCCAGACAAAGCCATGGTGGTGTGGCCAAGGCAGAGGCAGTTAGGGGTGACCAGATTGGCAGGGGAAAGCAGTTAGGGCAATTAGGCTGGCATGGGAGAGCAATCAGGCCGGTAGGCAGGGGAGTGGTTAGGAGCCAGCAGTCCTGGATTGCAAGAGGGATGTCCAACTGTCAGTTTAAACCAGGAGCTGGACACCCCCCGAGGGGTCCTGGATTAGAGAGGGTGCAGGCCAGGCTGAAGGATACCCCCTCCCATGTATGAATTTCATGCACTGGGCTACTAATGAACATATAATTTGGCAAAATTTTAAAATCAAATAATAAGAGAATATGTAAGTAATACTAAGTGTATAATGAAATGTTATTATAGAGAGTTATTTTGTCTGCCTCATAAAAGAAGAAAATGCCAGATGTCTCAATAATTAGAACAAACTAAATAAGCAATGATCTGTATCTTTCTTTTTATTACTTGACATAAGAAAATGAAATTTATCTTCTGATTTTATAAATCTTTGTTTTCAAAAGATATTGTCCTAGAAGGCTCCTAATTGCATTAAAATAGTTCATTGTCTTTAAGTCATTGGATTCCAAAAGCAATCGTTCTCTCAATATGAAGACAGCAAGACATAAAGTGAGCAATGTCTTGGAAAGAAATTCATTTACCCTGGGGATGTAAGTAATTCTATCATTTTCTCTGACTGAGGAGAGCATTTAGTGTATAGGAAAGCAAAAATAAAACATTATCTTAATCTGAGCCAAACTGTTAAACTGGAGAGCATTATGCTAAATATGGTTGCATGTGATTGTGCTTTCCAAACAGACAAAAAGAAAATTAATATAGTATCTTTTCCAAAGGTCAGACACACAGAGACTCAACTACAACCATAAAACACACACACACACACACACAAACACACACACAAACCCCCCCCCCAAAAAAAAAACCACACACACACACACACACACACACACACACAAAAAAAAAAAAAAAAAAAACCACAAAAAAAAACATAAAACAACAACACCCATGTATAATATTTGTTATTTAACTTTTGGAGATTTAAACAATGAAACAAAATATAACAAGGTATACAGATTATAATGGTACAGTATATACACTTATTGTGTTAAATCTCATCACCAATAAAGCAAATACAAATTAAATTAACAACATAATAAAGGGCTCACAATGATGGAAAAATTAAAATGAACTTTTCATTTTTTTAATGGTAGGGGTAAAGTCTAAACTTAATTCTCATCTTACCTGTTAAAACTTAAAAATGCCCTGAACGTTTTGCTAAGTAGCTTGGCAACATTTATTACAATTTATAATTTGAAATTCATGCATATTTTGCCCCATTACTTCCATTGTATGGAATCGTTCTCATGGGAATAAAAGCATAACAAGTAACTGCAGAATTGATTGTCATGTAGAAAATAATAGAATTGTAAACAATCATTCCTAGGGAAATAACTGATTGCCTAACTTATGGAATCTGCAAACAATGTAGTATTTTCACTGCTTTTTTGCTACATCTATTCATTAATTCTACTCATTTTAATTGAATGAATACTGTGTGTCAAACTATTATATGTTCAATGATACAGTGGTAAATAAAGACCTTTGCATTCATTAAATTTACAATAGTCGAATGTGGAGGGAAGAAGGAAAGGAAGGAGAAAGAGATGGAGAGGAAGACAGATGGTGTGTGAGGGAGAAAAACAAACAAAATGAACAAGTAGATTATCACTATGGTAGACAGTGGGAATTGCTATAAAGGAAAAATAAGAATAAAAAGGAGATGTGGAATATAATATTAGAGGGCTGAGTTATATATTAAATATGATTATGTCAGGAGAAGATTCACTCAGAGGGTGTACCCATTTGAGGAGTTGATTGAGTTTGTTATCTCTCTTCCAGGTATTTATCTTATGTGTTCTACTGGATAACTTCCTTTTGTAAATTTATTCTTATTTGGCCTCTGATTTATTCAAACAGAGTATTTTTTTCTCCAAAAATATTCATCTTTCAAGGAGTTTCTTATAATTAAACCTATTATATTAAGAATGTCTCATTTCTTACAAGAAAAAAACTAGAAATATTTGTGAATGTGTAAAATTAAACAGGCACTGTACTGAATGTTGCCACAAGCTCTCATTTTATCTGTCTCCAAGAATGGAAAAAATTAATTTTCTGAACTCAAGTTCAAAGGATATATTTGAGAGTAAATATTCAAGTATGATTATTAGTTGGAGAGGTGTTGACATTAATTTTAAAAAATCAAAATATAAGGGCCAGGAACAAACTTTTGTCCCATTCCAGATACGTTTGTATAAAAAAGGATAAATATAACTTATTAATTAAGACCAGGCATCTCAGTTGCTTATTCTCAAGGCATCAAAAAATTAACACCTGCCCAAAATATAATCAATAATTCTGAAGACAAACCTGAGAAACACTTCTACAACATAGGGAAAATACTACTATTTCTTTCTGAATGTTGTGGGAAGAAACATCCACATAGTCACTATGCATTTAGAGATAATTATGTCCATTGGTGATAGCATAATTGAACTCTTACCATTCACAACAACATGGATGGACATGGAGAGCATTATGCTAAATAAATAAATATCACATGATCTTACTCATTTGTGGATTATAATGAACAACATAAACTGATGAACAAAATTAGATCCAGAGACAAAGAAGCATCGAACAGACAAATCAAACTTCAGGGGGAAGAGAGGGGAGGGGGACGGGTAAGAGATAAACGAAAGAATTTGTATGCATGCATATAAGCATAACCAATGAACACAACACTAAGGGGGTAAGGGCATGTGCTGGAGGTTAGAGGTGGCCAGGGAGTGGTCAATGGTGGAAAAATGAGACATATATAATACTCTGCTTAATTCTTCAAACAATAAAGTACTTTAAAAAATTAAATTAGCAAAAGAATGAGAATTATTAAGTAAACAGTTCTGGTACATTTGATCAACTACTGAGGGAAAAATAATAATACTGAATTCCTACCTCACACCACAAGGTGAGGTAAAGCACAAATAAATGTTTAAAATGAAATTGTAAACAATGTAGAAGTTAAAATAGTCCACCAGTGAGGAATGCCTTTCTAATCACAAAAACAAAGGGGTAGAGCAAAAGAGAAAAAGCGAGCCAGAGAAAGAGAAAAAACTCATGTACATAGACAACAGTGTAGAGATTGTGGGGGGAAGAGATGGGTATAGGTGAAAGAGGGTATAAGAGAATGAATAAATTGTGATGAAAAAATAAAGAAAATAAAGAAAATAACAATGATGATGTAAAACAGAACTATTAAATATATATATACAGAAAGTGGAAATTGTAAAAAAAAATTCTTTGAGGAGAAGAAAACAAATGAGATATTTTAGGAAATGTAGATCATAGATGAGTGTGTCATCCTTATGACTTTTTTTAGAAGCTAATATTTGAAAATTGAAAGTGGATGGGGCATGTCATAATAAGCAAAGGAAACATGTTTGGGACTTTCTTTGTTAGCTACAAGATGCTGCTTATGATTGTTGCCTACTTCCTCTTGTTCTATTTTAAGTCAAATGCTTCAATCTTTGGATGCTCCCTAAAATTAAGCATGTTTCAATTTATTTTTTTTCTACATGTTAACTATGTAAAAATATTTTTTTGGAAATAAAATCATATTAACAGGTTTCTTTTTGGAAAAATGCAAAGTTTACAAAATTACTCATAACAAGTTCCCTATTTCAATTTGCATTTCTGATGTCCAAGGAATTAAAACAAAAACTTCTGGGGGGGGTATATAGATCAGGGGTGGGGAACATCCAGCCCACAATCTGTATAAGGCCCCCAAAATAATTATTCCTGGCCCTGCCAAGGCATTGTGGGTGAGTTAATTAAATTCTTTTACCTTAATTTTAAGTTGATAATTTTGTATGGATCAAAAATGATGTTATACATATCAAAATGGCCCTTGGCAGAATAAAAGGTGCCCTGCCCCTGAATAGATAATAAAAGAATCATATCAGATTTATATAACTCCTGTTAATAAATTTAATTTTCAGTGTATCATTGAAATACCCTTTTAGTCTACTGTCATCATTGGTTCAAAGTAGAAATGTCTGCAAAGCCATCTTGAAAAGACTAATCTTGGGAATGAGGGGCACTAATTGTACTCTCTAAATATCTATGTTCCAAAATTCTTACCGTATTTTCCAGTTTATAAGACGACCCCCTAATTTTACAGTTAAAATATAGATTTAGGCCTATATTCGCTGTATAAGACTACCCCCCACTTTCGAGGCAACACCAGTTCTTTTTAATAGACCGGACAATGGGGGGGTGGGGAGGGGGCGGAGGATGGGATGGGAACCTGGTGGAGGGGGGAAGAAATGAGGAACCTTTGTAATAATATGAACAATAAAGATTGATTAAAAAAATAATAATAATAGACCGCCTCTCTGACTCTGGCCAATCTGAGCAGGCTTTTTACTAGAACACAGTGTAGCTTCGGGTACAGAACATGTATAATTTGCATACATAAAAAGCCTGCTTGGATTGGCCAGAGTCAGAGAGGTGGTCTATTAAAAAAAGAACTGGTGTTGCCTCGGAAGTGGGGGTAGTCTTATACAGCGAATATAGGCCTAAACCTATATTTTAACTGTAAAATTAGGGGCTCGTCTTATAGGCTGGAAAATACGGTACCTTTCCCCCCTGTTATTCTACTCTTCACCACTTCTATAAAAACACTGAAAAAATATTCCTATACCTTCAATTCAATATAAAGGCTAAATATTGCTGCTTCTGAGAGATATTCCTTTTTCTACCAATCAGGGGCTTCACAAATGGTTTATTTCCTTGCAAAATACTATAAGTGTGCTTGGAAATAAATACAAGGCTGATTTTTGTTCAGCATCTAAGTGAAGGATAAACTTTGAAGTAGGTGTTTTGATCTAAGTGATTCATTGGAAATAAAATCCCACATCAAAGACAACTGCATATTTCAAAGATAGAAATCTTACTGCTTCTCTCAGGCCTCAGTAATGCTTTTGTCTTCTTGTTTTGGCTTCCACTTTCATGAAGGGCCTTGAACCAGTCCCGCAACCTGTTTGCCACTTCCCTGAACTCCAGGTCACTACATGCTAAAAACAAAGAGGAACAACAACAATCATGAATAATAACTTAGCATAAGGTCAATGCTACTTCTCAAACTATTCCAGCAACTGCAAAGTAAAAACAACTAAAAGATAAGAAAAGGAAGGCAAGGACTAATTGTGTTTCATCTTTTCAAACACTAAAAATGTGTTTCAAACACAATGAGATGTAGTATAATATTTTATTTAATAAAGAAATATTACTAGTAGAATTGTACTTCCACTTGTCACTAGAATATTAACAGCAACTAAATGTTCTCATTTTTAACATCACATAAATTGGTCAAATATGTATGTTCTGTACACTTTTGTCCTGGTAAGGTGGTAATCATCTGGGGAAATACAGAGTTGGAAATCCAAACTGAATACTTATACATTTATTATTGGCTATACCAATGGTTGGCAAACTCATTAGTCAACAGAGCCAAATATCAACAGTACAATGACAGAAAATTTTTTGAGAGCCCAATTTTTTTAAACTTAAACTTCTAATGCCACTTCTTCAAAATAGACTCACAGGCAACGGTATTTTGTGGAAGAGCCACACTCAAGGGGCCAAAGAGCCTGTGGATCATGAGCTGCAGTTTGCCAACCATGGGGCTATAACATACCCAAACAAAAAACAAAATTTTATCTAATAAAAAATCTGCTAAAAATGATAAAAAGTTGATCAATTTAGCACAGGTTTTTTTTTTAACTGTGATAGTAAATTTTAGTGCTATAGTGCTTATCATGTATATATAATGAAATATCTGTGACTTCATATGATTTTTTGAGTTCAGTGAATTTATATTTAAGAAAAATAGCATTTTAAAAATTTACTCTAATATTCTACATACACAATACCTTCAATTTCTATGTAAGATGATGCAGGTATTTTACTAGAATATTTTAGGAATTAAGAATCCTGTGATAATACTGATAATAATAATACTAATAGCCTCTAACACCACATACTATAAAAAATACTTTATATACAATAACATGTTTAATCCTTATAAAAACTTTATAAAACCTATGCTAATATTGCTGACATTTAAGTGTTAGAAAAATTATGCATTGGCAAGTGTCAGATCCAAATTCTGTATCCAAAAGATAGAATACAAGGTCTTTAAAAAAATCTATATTTATATCTATATCTATATCTATCTATGTATATCTATCTATCATCTTTCTACCTACCTATCTATTCAGAAAGAAAGGGAGAGGGATAAATTGAGATAGAAATATAAATGGTAAGAGAGAATTATTGATTGGCTACCTCCTGCATGCCCCATACTGGGATGGAGCTCACAACCTAGGCATGTGCCCTGACCGGGAATCAAATGATGACTCCTTGGCTCATTGGTTGACACACAACCACTAAGGCACGCTGGCCGGGCACAAGTCTTAATCTTTATAGCAAACTGCCTCAGTAGTAGCATGATCCAAATTAGATCAAACAAGACACTGTTTCATTGAAACCTTATCAATTTCCATTTTAGTAAATTATGACTGTTGATCATCACTGCAGAGATGTACATTGAACAAAATATATTTTTTTAAAATATATATTTTATTGATTTTTTACAGAGAGAAAGAGAGAGGGATAGAGAGCTAGAAACATAGATGAGAGAGAAACATCAGTCAGCTGCCTCTTGCACACTCCCCACCGGGATGTGCCCACAACCAAGGTACATGCCCTTGACCAGAATCGAACCTGGGACCTTTCAGTTCGCAGGCTGATGCTCTATCCACTGAGCCAAACTGGTTTCAGCCAAAACAGATTTTTAAAAGAAAATACACAAAGCCTATGTCAATATATCTTCTTTAAAGGAGCATGTATCTTCCAGTTTAATTTTTTTCTTAATTTATGTTTTTGTTGAAAGTATTACAGATGTCACTTTTCCTTTTCCCTATTGACCTCTTCCACCTCGCTCCCACCCCACCCTAGGCCTTCACTACACTACTGTCTGTGACCATGGGTTATGCATACATGCATGTAAATTCTTTGGTTAATCTCTTCCTACCCTCTTTCCCTCTGAGATTTGTCAGTCTTTTCATTTTTAAGGTTAATTAAAAACAGATCTCTTGGAAAAATATGATACCACATATTCCTCAGCATCAACAGGGGCCCATGAGGGAGGTCACCCCACAAGACTTGCCTTTATTTTTTTTTTTCAGACAGAGGCTTATACTACTGTTAGGCATTATTATAAGTCATAAGTCAAATGTCCTTATCACACAACAAAATACCTGAGGTAAACAATATTGGACTATAAAATTATTTATAGAATGACATTCCTACTTCACTCTTGATCAAATCCTTTGTTACAGACATGTTTGGACTGCAATATGACCAGTCAAACTTCACTCTTGTGAGTGTCTGACAGTCATCTGTGGTTTACTACTGTTCTTTTGTAGAATAAGTCAAAATGTCCAATCTTCATATTTTCTAACCGTTCCCCTAGAAATAATTCATTGTATTTATACAGCATGAAATGCTTTTGATGAGGTTCTACATTTGATTTTAATATAAAGTCTGGAAGATCAGGTAAATGATTATTATGTTTTATAGCTATGGAAAGTAGGACACTGAATATAAATGACTGCCCTAAATTTTATAGCCAGTAGTGAACTAGAACAGTACTGGGTACTCATTGATCTAATTGGAGTTGTAGCCAGGAATAAATAACAGGATAATAAATCACAACAACATAATAAATATGATTAAAAGAAAAGCTAGGTTTTAAAACAACTATCTTTATTGTTTGAAAGTATTACATATGCCCCCTTTTCCCTCCATTGACCCCTTTTAGCCTTGCCCCCAACATCCGCACCAGGCCTTCACACACTATTGTCTGTGTCCATGGGTAGAAAAGCTAGGTTTTAATACAAGGTTCTTCAACTGTGTCAAATTATTAATTAGAGCATGATATTAGGTAAAGCAAATGAACGAAAAGGGAAGAGGTCTTGAAAATTTAAAAAGTTACATATACATTTATATTTGTGTACACACACACCTACTCACATATTTGAGAAGACAAAACACAATAGAATCAGTGGGGATAAAGCCAGAAAACAATCTAGACTATAAAACAAAAACAATAGAGGGAGACTAGAGCAAAAGAACCTAAAGGAAAGGAGATACAGAGGTCCAGATAAATAAGTCTACTATCTGCCTTATGGAAGTTGTTAAGAGAAAGAATAATTTGGAATTGATAAATTATTTCAAAAATAAAGAAAATAATTCCTATAGCAGCAAAAAGACAAGTTTTCAGGGGGGGAAAAAAAGGAACCACTGAGATCTTTTCTGAATTAATTAAATTTAAATCTAAATACACTCATACCAAAATATCTTTCAGTATTTAGAATATATCCCTAACCAGTTTGGCTCAGTGGATAGAGTATCAGCCTGTGGATTGAAGGATCCCAGATCCCATTCAGGTCAAGGACATGTACCTTACTTAGTTGTGGGAATATCCTCAGTAGGGGGTGTGCAAGAGGCAGCTGATCAATGTTTCTCTCTCATCAATGTTTCTAACTCTCTATCCCTCTACCTTCCTCTTTGTAAAAAATCAATAAAATATATTTTTAAAAAGAGAGAATATAAAACATAAAAAATAAAATTATAAGAGCTTTCAGGAAAAACTAAAAATAAACATAGTCCAGACTAAAAAGCAAATAAAAAATCACTACCAAACACAAAGGTTCAGCTGTATCTTCCTATAATTATTAGCAATACTGGATTATAGAACAATATAAAACACTCTTTCAACATTATAATAGAAATAAATTCTACTTCTGGACAATGTGGTTCAGTTGGTTGAGTGTTGTCCCATGTATCTAACGTGTTTCCCTGAAAATAAGACATCCTCCGAAAATAAGACCTACTTACAAGTTTCCTTCTGAGTGAAATAAAGGCATCCCCCCAAAATAAGGCCCCCAGGCTCTGTCTCAGAAACTTTGTGAAACCTAAACTGCAAGAAGTTGTGACTTGGGTGAAGAATTCATGGGAGAAAATCACTGACAGTTGCATTGCAAATGCACTGCGAGCAGGCTACCTTGACAAGAAGTACTCATTTAAAGACAGTGCTATTGCTAAACATGAGAGATTTGGTCCACTGATTCTGAAGGAAATGGAGCCACAAGAAATTCACCAGGAAATTCAGGAATTGAATTGTTATGATGATGTTCCAGAAGATGATGACATGATTGTCATTGAATAAATGAGTAAATTCTTGATACTGTAGGATTCACAGTTTGTCTGGTTTGTGTTGACAACTACCATACTATGGTACCGTATACAGGTAATAAATTTCCTTTATTTTCATTTAACAATAAATGTGTACCATATTCTTCTTCATGGAAAAGTAAGACATCCCTTGAAAATAAGACCTAGCACATCTTTGGGAGCAAAAATTAATATAAAACATTGTCTTATTTTCGGGGAAACAGGGTAGAAGTCACTGGTTCAATTCCTGTCATGGCACATGTCTAGGTTGTGTGTTCAATCCCCAGTAGGGGGCATTCAGGAGGCAGCCAATTGATATTTCTCTCTATTATTGATGCTCCTCTCTCTCTCTCCCTTCCTCTTTGTCTAAAACCAACAACAACATATTAAAAATATTATACATAAATTTTAATCAAGTACCCAATATCTACTCAATTATCAATCAAATAGGGCAGAATAAAGGCATGTGTAGGTATACAAGAGCTCAGATATTTTTGCATTCCTTGCCCCTATGAGAATGGGTTGCAGCAAACTAAAAGAAGAAACTAAAGGGAAAAAATGCAATGGCATGAAATTTACAAAAGAGGAACTTCACTCAAAAACTGAGAAGCACGGTATTCAGATTGGCTATGTAGTACATTTCAAAATGAAGCAAGCTTATGGTCAGCTCAGTAACAAACAAATCTGATGGGTGGTGGCCAGAGTGATTTGATAGAATAGTCTCTGGTTGACAACTTATAAAAACTTACCATACTCATAATATGGGGATATGAAA